CAGAATCAGTGCAATGGATCAGAGATTCTAAAGATACCTAAAGAGGTCCAACTATGTTAGGGTTGAGCACTCCAGAACAGCTTAAGGAAATTGATGAGAGAGTATTTGAGTTAGTGAATCTAAGATGTTAAATACTTGGCCGGTAGCGCTTAGAAAACAGTGGCCAGCCAGTATGAGGAGCCAGGAATGAGGAGCCAGGGTCAGGGGCAAAAGGCACAGGCACCCAACACCTTGTGGAATTGCAGCTGGAACCAGTAAATTTACGACAGGCATGCCCGTGACCAGGCCAAAGGATGAGCCCCTGAACAGTCAGGTCCAGCACAGGGCTCTGAGGAAATGACAGGTGAAAAAAGGGAAGAGCCCTCTTAAGTCTGGAGCTGTGCATCCACCCAGGGTGTAAAGCAAGGTTGTGGGGTCCAACCCATTGGGCCAGACAGGACACTCACATTAGGGGCAGTCACATGGAATAGGACTGAGTGAAATATCGTAGGCTCACCCAAGATCAGACCGAAGGAGCCCACTGCTGAGTTCTGGGTCTTAGGTGAAGGTGAAGTAGAAAAGAGAGACAGAAAAGAGGGGCTGGAGTGGTTTGGAAAGATGCCAATTAGTAATTTGGCAGGGGCAGCCTGAAATTGTCACTGAGACACCAGATGACCGGAGCTGCTTAGATAGAAGGTCAATAGGCTTTGGGTGTTCTCAGGAGTCAAAAGTGACTGCACAGAGTGCAGAAGAATGCGCACCTGAATGGAAGTAGTCCACAGTGAGCTCTGGGGTGTCTTGGGAAGTGAAACTGCACAAAGTGAAAGCTGAGTCAGCAGCTGGATGGAGGCAGTCTGTGGTGAGCGCTGGAATTCCAAACAAATGAAGCTGATCAGAAACAGAGTCAGATAGCGGTGAGGATGAGGCAGGCAGAGAGAGGTCTGGAGTTCCAGGCAGGATGGGGCTGCATGGAGTGAAGGACACTATAGAATCAGCCCAAGGAAAGCAGTCAGAGGATTAACTGGATTGGCGTGTACTGTTGGTGAACAGTTAATGGTGAAACTCCACTACAGGGGTGCTTCTGTACTATGTAGGGAAAGGGGGTGTTTGAATAATTGAGGCCTGATAAGTAACAGAAGAGAACTGGCCAGAAGTCAAGATCAAGTCATGTTGGAAAGCTACGGAAAACTGTCAGCCCTTGTGAGAATGCTTCAGGTTTCCCAGGGCAACAGCGGACTATGTGACACCACAGAACGGTGGTTTAACATTATTATTGTAATTGATGTAATATAAATATTAAGCACAAATCAAGGGGGGAATGGAAAAAGAACAGTTATTTGAAAACACCTGTTGTAGCTAAATGATTATTAGGGTTAAAACATTTCCCACTCATCTCACTATTCTCTATTTAATCTTCCCACACATTTACAGATTGCTTGCTTTCACTCCTCCAACTGTAACCTGTCTTCCACATTTGCTCTCAGTTACCCATATCTCACCTTACTCACCCCTTGTCTTTTGCTTACCCCATCTCACCTCTTTATAATATTATAATTATTATTATTATTATTATTATTATTATTAATAGTAATGATAATAATAATAATAATATTTACCAGTAGTATCTGTGGTTTCTCTCTCACACTTGAAAAATCACCACTGCCAAAATATTGAGTGCCTTTCAAGTTTCAAGTCTGCTGTTCAACATGGAATTAATTATTACTTGCTAACCACTACTTGTTAATTTAGTTATATTTGTACCAATTCTTCAAAAGTGGTATACTGTAGTTTACCAATTCTTCAAGAACCCTTTTTCATACTTACAGGTTAAAGTTTAATTCATTATTCACTTTAGATCTTATTACCATGAGTATGGAAAAACTATATTAAATTATAGCATGTTTATCTACGTTTAAACCTTTCTCAGCAATATTTTTTTGTCATGTGTTGGGATGAATAAAGTATCTTAATCTTAATTGAATTGAACAACTTCTTGAACTAATCTCCACCCCCAATTGAAGATGAGCTGACAGGCTCGTGTATACAGTAGTTGAGCTTGTGATAAGGCTAAGAGTGTTTGGAAATGAACTGCTTTTCCTGCCTGTTTCCCCCATACAAGAATAGGAGAGTGAATTGTGGAGATTTGTCTGGCCAAAAAATTGATTAAAGATAATAATAATAATAATAACTTATATAGGGCTTTTCTGGACACTCCACTCAAAGCGCTTTACAGGTAATGGGGACTCCCCTCCACCAGCACCAATGTGTAGCATCCACCCGGATAATGCGACGGCAGCCATAGTGCGCCAGAACGCTCACCACACATCAGCTATCAGTGGGGAGGAGAGCAGAGTAATGTTGCCAATTCATAAATGGGGATTATTAGGAGGCCATGATTGGTAAGGGCCAATGGGAAATTTGACCAGGACACCGGGGTTACACCCCTACTCTTTTCAAGAAACGCCCAGGGAATTTTAATGACCACAGAGAGTCAGGACCTTGGTTTTACATCACGTCCAAAGGACGGCGCCCAGTTTACAGTATAGTGTCCCCGTCACTATACTGGGGCATTAGGACCCACATGGACCACAGGGTGCTGGCCCCACTAACACCTCTTCCAGCAGCAGTTTTTCCCAGGAGGTCTCCCATCCAGGTACTGACCAGGCTCACACCTGCTTAGCTTCAGTGGGCTGCCAATTGTGAGTTGCAGGGTGATATGGCTGCTGAGAATAGATGAGCTTCCTGGTGATGCTCCTCATTTTAATATGCATTACCTGTCACTGAGAGGGGAAAATCTAATCATTTCTAATATTCATGGAAAGTGAATGTTTTATTGTGGCTTTCTCACTAATATATTTTACAGAATGCTAACAGGGTTCTTATTTAGCTGTTTTGACTACTATACCTTAGCAGTTAACATTTATGGAAAATATGATTTGAATGTGATTATTTCTTCCTACAGAAACCCACAGTTTTATTTATGCTTAATCAGCAAATACAGTAGACCAGAAAAAAATGATAAAAACAATGCCAAAACACCTAGGGGATGACAAACAACAAAATGTGAACCACATCAATATTTGGCATCTTCTGTTACTTTTTCATATCAAGAGAATGCAGTAAGAGTAACATTCTCCAGGCTCCATCTGAGATAGCATTGAGATTAGATTGAATTTCTCTGTACAGGTTCGAAGTGAGGCCAAAATATTAATAGTATAAATAGTGAACAAAAACATAAACTGAGCTAAAATAATGTTAAACTAAGGTCAAATCCAAATAGGGATGCTTTCATCATAGTGCACTATATGTAGGCAGAGAAAGTGTAGCAGAAACAGACAGACCCCATTTAACATGAAACTCTGAGAAATAACGTTTTTTTTATATGGCCTCTAAACTGAAATAAATTAAAGTGTAATTTGAAAGCAGTCAAAAAATATTTAATATTTTTGCAGAGATAAGCTTTCAACAGTTGGCCTGTGTGAGTGACTGACCTATGCAAATTAGCGGGGCACATTAATTCACAAAAGGCAATAACAGACTATTAATGTTGGTTACTGCAAACAATGAATTTAATACAAAATGTGCAAGATTTGGTTTTTCTTTTTAGTGCTGCCTTGTGGAGATTAAGCTATAATTTATCAGAGGATAAGTGCTCATTATAAATATTAATTTCATTTCACAGGTAACTTCAAAGATCTGTAGAATGGAACAAATACACATCCAAGTTTCCATAAGATGTAAAGCACTAGAGAAACAAAGAAAAAAGGTACCAGCACTCAAAATTAACAGTTAAAATCTTAACATCACTCTCCCATGAAACTACAGGTTGTGGATAAGTTTCTAATTAAAAAAAAATATTCTGAGAAATTTAAACCATGGATTATATATTTTCTGTGGTGCAACTGCTGATATGAATGTTTAATAGTAGACAACTGTAGACCGCATTGAGGATTGTTGCATTCCAGAAGTTTTTTTCAGTTTTTGGTTTATTTTATCAATTTTGGCCAATTTTAAGCACTTATTAAAACATCCATTCATTTTTAGAAACTAGTTTATCCTCAGAGGGTCAGGGTGAGTTGATGCCTAAACAGGAAACCATTTTGAAAGTATTTTCGGAAAGTTGATATTTTTCATTCTTCTTCTTATTGTTGTTGATGTTTTGTGCATGGGAAATGGCTGAGAAACCTGCTAAGCAAATAAACTATATATTCTAATATATATATATTAGAAATGCTATAAAAATTACTAAGCAAATATGTTTTGATTTTTATTTTAATATGTACTTGCATTTACTGTAGGTATAGAAAGATGGAGGTATAAAAACTTGCTTAGCAGTTTGTTTAGCACTTTTCCAGGGAGACTTAAAATTACTGTACATACAGTCGAAACAATCAATGGATAAACAAAACAGATGATAATAAAGCAAGCACAAAGCAAAAAAAAATCTTAGTGTTTTGGAATTGTAATTTGCAACTTATCAACACAAAATGTAATAACTTGCAGGAGCAGGTAGTGAGGGAGTGAGGTCGAATTACAATCCAGGTCTAGAGGGAAGGGTAATTATCAGACTAATGGATTTGTTGAACAGGCAAGAGATGATTAAAGTAAAACAAAGGCTGAATTTATTGGTTTTACATGACAGACATGAGTACGTTTGAGAGCCCTGGTCAGGTGTCAGGTGTTCTGCCAGGACCACAGACACCTTCCTTTGGTGCTTGCGTGAATATGTGCATTTTTTTGGGCTACAGAAAAACTGATTCCTTGTGTACTGATTGCATTCTTGCATTATATGCAATCTTGCAATGCTCCTTATCCTATTAACGCCCCTCAAGTGAAGCTCACACACCATTAGGAAAGTAACTCTGAAAGAGATGAGGTGGATATGGAAAAGAATAATGAAATAATATTTTCCTCTCAGACAGCTCTGGAAATGGAGAAAGCAAAATATATCATTAACAAAAGAGAGAAGAAGATTTCTCCTAATGTATCTTATTTCTTATACTTCTGTTTATCTCTTGCAGCCTGAAGAATCAGTTGTGAGGCCTGTCAATATTACAAAAGAATGAAAGGAATTGGCTTCAGCTGCTGTCAAGCCAGACGTTTTGAAGATCAACACAACCTTCTCTTTCTATTTCTCTGTATTTCTCTGTCCCTGCTGGCCATGAAAGCTAAAGGAAGGATTTTTACTCAACCTGCCCCCAAGGTTCCACTCCAAAATTCCTCCTAGCCCAGAACTCCTAAGTAGCAGAGATAAGGGATTTGGGAGGGGGGAGGGGTATTGTGGCCAAGCCTTTAACTCTTTTTTAAAGCCCACAGTCCTCGATTCCCAATCTGTCAACAGTAAGGACTGAACAGAAGAACTGGATCGCTAGCTTGTGCATCAGTGGAATGCTGTACCAGAGGCCAGAATCAGAGGAGGGAGTGAATTACTTCTAGTCTTTTATTTGGCTTTTCTGTTGTTAGTGTTGTTGGTGTTGCGGTGTTATTGTATGTCTTTGGGGATTTGTACTGTACCACAATATTAATGGCGCTAAGGAAGATGTATATCCTTCTTAAAATATTGTACTTGTATAACAAGTGTAACATCTTTCTCATTGCAAAAAATGAGTAGAGTTTGAGGAAATTATCTTTATAACCTTTTTAGTTTCTAGATGCAGATGTCTGTTTAAAAACATTTTAGAAAATCCTGTTTTGAAAGGTTTAAAATCAAAAGTGAAATAAAAATGCAATGTACATAAACAAACATCATGCAAATATTAGATTCATATTCTAATATTATATGCACATCTACTGTATGTCTATCCATCTAATTGCCTATCTGATTGTATATCAGATAGCAGTCACTATGAATTATGGGAATGAAAATTAATCAGCTCTGTCTCACAGTTGAAAAAAGGAGCACCATCAGAATATACTTCTGATTTCTCTCTTGTTATATAAAGTCAAAGCTAGTAGCCTTAAAGGTGTTCCTTCAAAGATATATAAACATTATATACCCATTTCACCCTCAGAGTTATCTATGCTGCACTGATGAGCCCCGATAAGATGTTTACTTTGACCTTATATACACAAACGTGAAATCAGAAATGTGTCTATCTATACATAAATGAGTATATCATCTGTCTCATCGTTAATGTTTTGAGGGGTTTTACTGCAGTTTAACATCAGAAAAAATAATAATATTTTATTAATGATGCAATTGCTCATCTTCTGAGATAAATAATTCCCTTCAGTCTCCACATGGTTTGTACAAGTACTACTGATGATGTGATCACAGTCTCAGGGAGTTTAAAGTTGATTACATATTGTATTATTTTTGTTTTCCTTTTTCAGCTTCACTTGAATCAAAGTAGTTTGTTCTCAGACCTTTAAAAAACCTACTGAGTACTGTAGACATTGCTAGTTTTAATCTAGGTATTTCACCAAGATGTAACACAAAACAGTTCTGCTGATCTTGGATGGGTTTGAATTGGCCAGGTTAGTCTCTGTTTGTCTTGTAACCATGACTAACATGACATTGTGAGCACCCAGGTGTTTGCCATGTTGATAGTGAGAACTCTACTCCCATTATAGCTATCAGCATTAGCTCTGTTGCCACTATAGAACCCGCAGTGCAAAAATATTTCTGATTTTTTAAAAAGTACAGATTTTGAAGAAAAATGCAGAGTATTTAAGTCTCAGAATCTTCATCATTTTTATTAGTAAATTTTGATAGGTGGATTACTCTGTTTCAAAATAAACGTATTCAGTTCCAAATTTTGAATATTCCATGACAATAATCAATCTTTGAAAGAATGTTTTTGTTGATTTTCTGTCATGTCACATTTTCAGACTGATTTACAGTACAAAAGTATACAGACTCTTCTTGTGGTGTCCAATTCACTGAGGTTACACCATGATGCTTACTGTATACTTTTGCTGTTACAGTACTTAGATTTTTTTACTGTAAAAATGTATCCTTTTTTCAATACCCAAATACTCAAACTAAAGATTTCTAAGGATCAGATAAGTTACAGTAAATATCAGCAAACACTAGAGAGAAGAAAACTGAAATATGTTGATTGCATATTAAGTATGCAATCAACATATTCATACCTGTGAATCCAATGTTTAGTTGAAGGGCCTCTGGCTGCAATTACAGCCACGGCATTTTGAGTACTACCACCTTTGCACACTGACTTCGTAAATTTTTACTTGACTGGGCCAAACGAAAGGGTTTTCATTTTTTTATTTTTAACCCACTCTAGTGTTGCTTTGGCCTTGTTCTTTAGATCATTGTTCTGCTGAAAAGTGAACTTTTATACCTGTCGTAAGTGTGAAGCAAATTAATGTAATTATGTGCACCTTAATAAGTTTAGAATCGTCATTGCAAAGAAATTGAATGAGTTCATGAGTTTTCCATTTTTTTTTCCACATATATTTTCTTCTTTTTTTGTTTTATTTTTTCCTTTGAATGTGCGGAGTAGTTTGTGTATATAACACATTAATAACTTCTTAAACATATTATCACTGCAAGTTTTAAAGCAACAATATGTGAAAACTGTGCCAGGGCCTGAATACTTTTACAAGGCTTTGTATATGAAGCTCTTCAAAGGAACTAAGCACAAGATGTGTAATGACATATTTGACAACTGCGCAGCTAACAATTATCTACATATAACTGACAGGAAGCCCAAACAATGTGAAGAAAGGAAGATTTAGGAGGAAATACTTAACTTCTAATCTCAATTAAATTATTTCTGAGACAGAGTAAAACCATAATCAACTTTCAAGATCATGTCTGTGTTGTTTCTCAAGAAGAAATAAATATACTTATAACATGGATAGTGTCCAACTGATTCCCATGGTTTTCCATGGGTTCAACCTTAGAAACCATTGTCCAAGGTTTGTGATTCAAAAAAGTGAAGAAAACTCAGCTGTAAAAAATTCTCATTGAGAGCTGGAACTTGTACTATGTAATGGAACTATGTAATGACAAGAAGTCAGCACTCCTGTAAAAATGCATTTAATTAAAATTTCCATTATAAAAAAATGGGAAATGTCAGAGCAGGCAAAAGCATTGCAGCTCTCAAGGCTTTCTCAGTATAGTAAAACAGCCTTTTTGAAAAAAAAAATCTATAACTATATAAAAAACTATATTTTGTAGTCCTAAACATGAAATTAATTCTTAAATTTGTATTATACCCAAGTTTCCTCTGGTTTGAAAGACTGTTTCCTTTTCCCTAGATAGATTTCATACGTTATCCCCAGTCCTGATAACATTTTGGTGTTTTAGATTCTGTATTGTACAGCTTCTTCAGGAAAGCACCTTTATGAATAAAAAACACTTCCAACTACACCATAGTGATCTACTGCTTTTTATGAACCTCGTTCAGCCTGTTGACCATACATCCATTTTCTAACAGATTCATTCAATTTAGTATTACGAGAGATGCCAGAACCTATCCCAACAAGCAACAGGTGCAAGGTAGGATACACCCTAGACAAGATGTCATTCCTTTGCAGGGTAGATTCAAACAAAGACACACACACAAACTCATACCAGGGCCAATTTTCCCAGAAGCCAATTAACCTACCAGTATGTCTTTGAACTCTAGGGGGAAGCAGAGCACCCAGAGGAAACTCACATGAACATGGCAAGAACAAACTCTGTACAGAGAGTGCCCCAGGTCCTGAATTAAACAAGGACGCCAGCATTGCTGGGCAGCAGTACTTCGCCTGCTGTCATTAGTTGCAATTCTACCAGCAACGTTATCAGTTAATCTCAACACATTTCAATGAGACTCATTTTCACACATGTCAAACCACTGCACCATTTGGCCTACAACTATAATTCCTGCTACTGTGAAGTACATGTTTGTATTGTAGTGTGACCTACTGTATAATCCCTGCATATGCCTGAGAACCCAGGAGGTAAGACTGATATACAGTACAGTACATTAGGAAATATAATGGAGGAAATTGTCACAATATAAAATATGATCATTCATATACAAATATATTTATATTCATATAGGTCAAGCACACATCGACATGTATTTATACAATTGCAGAAGTAGTTAGCCTACATCTGTAGTCAAAGTTTCATTCATTCTTTAAATGCAATTTCATTTGTTAAACATTGTTCATTTGTTCATTTATTAGACGTTGTGGCTAATATATTTGTGTAAATTAACTCATTTAGAAAATGATCCAATATGTAAGTCCAAATGTAATTTTAGGTGTTTTCAAATAATTTTGGTGCATATTTTAGGTCCTTTTTAATATTTTCATATATATTGAAAATTGGTTTAGTTTTCTTTATAGGTCTGTCATATATAGACATATTATAGAGGGCGCTCCTTCTCTGTCCTGTCCCTAGTTTCCGGTCTGCTGTCCTTCAAGTCCCTCTCTTTCCCTTGGGCTATATATTTCCGGGTCTTGCACTCTGTTCTCGCTCAGCATTGACGTTCGGATGTCCTGAGACCCGCCTAGCACCAGGGCGCCCCACGTCCGCTCCCTGAGGGCATAGGTTTCTATGCACTAATGAGCCCGGGCCTTTTTCCCGTCCCGCCGCTACGCATATGGGTCTTTTTCCGCTCTCCTGCTCCCCACTGTTAGTCCCTTTGGACGTCCGTGACAGTACCACTGTTTAACAAGACAATGGGGTTTCCCCAGCCTCTGAGAGTAATGAACTTAGAATATACAGTACCATTAGTTGTTTCTCACCTTTACAAAGCTGTGGAAAGTTCAAGAGGATAGGCAGATCCATCATAAAGCAATCAGCTGGGGCAGGAAAAGGCTTGGCAGACATCCTACTGCTTTCGATCATTCCTCTGCTAGATCAGACGAGATGTTATAGTGACTTGTTTAGGAAGTAGATTGTGCTCTGTGGTTCTCTAGAGCAATGGTTCTCAAAGTTCAATGGTCCACGGACCACTTACAGTACACCAAGTCACAGATACAGTGGACCACCTATGCCTTCGTCCACTTCTTCCCCTGTAAAAATCATCACCTATTAAAGTAATAAAAATAACTAGTATTGAATTACATTTTATGAACTATAAATTTTATGTACTCATATTTTTACAAACAAAGCTGCATATTTTTCAAATGTTTTTATTGCTTAAAAAGTTAAGTGTTAAATGTGAAGAATGGAGCTGCTTTTGTTGAGCAATCAGAGAAGTGATATGTGGATCCAAGCTGGACTACTTTCGTCTCATGTCCGCAAGTGGACGAAGACATCACATCAAGCTCAGCATCTGCTTCCTTGCACATCACATTTATCAAGCTGTTGTAATTAGAATTACAGCACTGCCGGTATGGTTCACAAATTAACGTCACTCACAGTTTCACTTCTATTCTGCATCTTGCACTTGTGCTGTCACTATTGGCGCTATGTTTGCGTCTCAGAGTCCCAGATTTGAACCAGTGCTCCATAATAAGCCTTCTGCTTATTTTAATTACACTCAGAACTTTCAAACTCAAAGTTAGACATTATAATAATAATAATTGCTTATACATATATAGTGCTTTCTTCACAGTCCACTCAAAGCGCTTTACAGGTAATGTAACCACCTGCATCCACCTTATAAGAGAAATTCAGGCTCTTAGAGTGGAAAGTGCTCTTTAATCCTAGCACAGCAGCAAAGACACCGGCACACAAATACAGCGTAATCGGGCTATAACACACTTGGGTCACTTGGGGTACAGGTATAAAAGGGTATAAACCGGCAGCCATGTGCAATCGCACCAGATGGTCAACCTGCGCTGGCCAGTAGCCCTCAGTACCCTCCTCCCATCCTGCCCTTCGCCGCACATCTCAGTCGGACACTCTTCGGCCGTAACGCAAGGTGAGGGTGCCATAATATTCAAAAGTAAGAACAAAATGGTACAAACAATACAAACCACTTCAACATTCTTCCTGGAGGACATCAACATCTTTGGTTTCCATTCCAGCTTCTCTCAATAAAGTTAATTGACTGGATCAGTGACTGAACTGAACATATTCAACAAATGTTGATGATTGACAAGACTCTTAATTCAAGATAAAGGCCTTTCTCATTTTTGTTATCTTCTGTTACTGTCATCAAGTATGAAAGCATGAACCTTGAACCTGGAACTGATATGCGGTAGTAAGTGACTCATGACAAGCAAGCAGGTTTATAAAAGAGTGTCCATGTCGGGTTTCCCAGGATATTGATGAAGAGTGCAAAGAGTGAAGATTGGAATCTTCATTCCAATACTATAAAAAGAAGGGGGGGAATGTATTTTTTATGCTGTGTCGTGATGAAGAAGCAACATAGGCTTTAACAATTTGAACTAAGTGTAACTGTCTACTATTTGGATCAATGTTGGATTGGAGTCCGGCAGATCTTTGATGAGATAGAAACCAACGTGAGCCAGATTATTTTTATATAAGTCTGAATAACTTCTGCAAGCTTGAACTTCGAAAGACTCAGCTCGACTTGGTATCATTTTATCTTGTGAATCTAATTTAGTGTAATAACAGAAGAATCTTCGATTCATTTCCTGTTGCCATAACTACACTAATTTATCCACACAACCCTGTAATGATCATACAGAAATGTCCTTGCAGATCCTCTTATGGAATTATTCAGCATGTTTTAATTAAAGAAGAGTACAACAGTGTTGACTATAGCTGTTGTACCTCATTTAGGTTATATTTGTAATTAGTCTTTTACATTTTAGCACAATATGGATGAGCAGATGGTGGCGTCTGCTCTTGGCCAGACTCGGAGAGTTTTATCTGACACAGAAATCCCACTTCTTTTATCAGACAGGTAAGGCTCAGCAACACTTTTGGAAATCTGGACTGTTTTGTTTATCATGGTGCTGGTACATTATGAAAACTTCTGCTGCAGAACCATCTGAAAACTGTAGAGTTATACTGTACAGTATATAGATAAGTATTAATGTCAAGTATCTGGAATAAATCAAATAAATATTTTTTCTTAGCTTGATCCCAAATTCTCAACTGCGCCCCCAAGTGAGATACTGAAATTGGTATCTACAGTATATGTATCTTAAGTGGACATGCCATGAAAAGAGGGATCTGGCACAAGATCAAGAGTGAAATCAGAAACACAATGTGATATCTCATTGAAATAACACCTACAGTATGTAATGTCTTTCAACAGTAGCTTTGCCAGATCTGCAGTGAAATGCCAGTTTAGTCCATATTTTCAGATATGCTGTAAGAAAATAAATCAACTCAACCGTGAGTATCCAGTGTGATATCTAGACTGGTTTAATTTTTTTTACTTTTACCAGTGGAAAGAATGACTTTCACTTTTCATCACAAAGTCATGTTTTTCCAAAACAGCCTTTTATGACTTAATTAGACCACTGTGCATCGGATTTGTTAGTTCAATGGATATGCTTTCATGCTTACAAGCCAGTGAGTGCCCAAATGCCATAAATAAAGAAACTTAGTAACTGGCCACAATGGATGGCCAGTTACAAAGTTGTTTTCAATTTACTTTGCAAACACTGATGTGCTTCAATTCTTTTTTTATTTTTTATTATGCTTGATTTTTCTGTTACTTTATGGGTAGAGAAAATTGGAAACTGATTGGCTAAGTACATAACTGATATTCATATGTGGTTACACTATACCATGCACTGTAAAAACAGAACAATAAAAATGGTTGTTGAATTGTATTAATCAAAGATAACTCCTCTCAGTTTATTGACCACTCATTTATTTTTTCAAAAGGAAATTAATGTTCTTGAGAATGAACTAAATAAAAGAGGCACAGTGCCAAGATCTATAACTCCGCATAGGTCTATAGACACCTTATTCTTGTGCTACTGTAGGCTCTTCACTGGATTTAAAATGACTAGCCACGATTTTTAGGATTGAGATTATTTAAGTGATAGCTGAGATTAATTTATTATGTTTCTAGAATAACCCTTCATAAGCACAAGTGTTTTTTTTTGCAAAAAGTGTGAGAGATTAAATTTAAAAAAGTTCAATTAAGGATCCAATTCGCAGAACTGGGCAGCCATGACATTAATGCTCAAAATTCAAGCAGCAATTTAATTATTTCCCTTGAACTTCAGTTTATGCTATCCCACAGCCTACAGGTGTGAGACCGTTTTTAAAATAACTAATGCTCCGGGACAGAGCAGAATGGGATAAGCTAATCTCAATTAAAAACTAAACAGGTCATATTTTTTAACTACTTCTTTTTAAACATCGTAGAGAATTTTTCCTATAGCACAATATAGAATGTTACATTTTACGGTGAAATACATCAATTTCTTTCCACCATGAATTATTGTTTAACATCCTTGTATATAATCTACAACAAAAGACAAGGTCTGTCTAAGC